TTTCGGTACTTATACATTCTCAGATTTCAAATGTTTGGCTTTGAGCGTTCCTGATGAAAGTAAATCCAGAAAAGCGCTTCGGACGCATGAAATTTTCAAACATGTTGTTTTCACTTTTAAACAGTAATTGTTGTTAGGGTTGAATCAGATAAACATGAAATAATAAATTTGTTCTGATGAAACAATTTACCAAAAACTAATTATTCTTATGTTAATAGCAGATATAGAAATGATTGAATAAGTAACAAATACGGCACCACACAGAAATTTGACAACATTTCAACCTTTAACATGTCCTGGTAGTTCTTTAGATCATATATGTATCAAACCGTCAACCAAAGGTACTGCCCTAGCCCACTACATGAAATTTGTCAAAATTATAAAATCTACCAATAATTTGAATTTTGTTTACTACAACCTCTAATCTTATCTTTGATTCATTACAATGAATTCTTTAGAAAGGGATGACCTTGTTGAAATGAAGACTTTTTTGTATATCTGAATCAATATTGTGCATATTGACTGTAATCTATATGACTTTAAAACAAAATATAAGAAATTTGTCCATAAATAATAAATAATAACCTTCAATAAACAATACTTCCCTTTTTTATACATCTATTTTTCTGACCTTATAAAAACTTGACGATTCAGTAATCATAAAGCAATTACTGACAATTATTATAAATATTTACAGTGTCAATGTTGCAGTGATTTGTTGTATAAAGCATTTATTAAAAAGTTATGTTGTAAAAGAAAAAATTATACTTATAAATAACTATTGTGGCTTATTGATTGATAACTGCGTAGGCTAGGTATGTATAATAATTGTTTGATTGATTGATTTTGGTGTTAAATGCAACTTAAAGAACACTTTTTATACATGTATAACATAACAGCAAGTTTTTTTTATAATTGGGGTAAGTATTATGGTAGAAGTAGCTCCCTAATAGATCTGTTTTCAGTAGATGCTATACAAATTTATTTCTGTTATTAGAAAGGACAAAATGAAAGCAAATAAGAATTTAACACATGTCAACTTATTATCATTTTGTTGAAGTTTTACTAACTTTTAGTTCTCAAAAGTAGTTACTTTTAAAACATCTGGCTATTGTTTTAAGTTACATTAAGGATACTATGGGCCAATACCATATCTAAGTAATTAAGTATAAGTAGAATGAGAATTAAAACAGGTTATACAACATAAAAAATACAGAACACATTGTATATACAGACAACAAGCAATGATTCACAACATTTACATATATATTTCATCTGTTAATTTAAATATAAACATGTCAATGATATGTTCAAAATAAGACACAATATACTCGTTGCTCGTGATGTAAAAAGTAACTATCATTCATTGATTATATTTAATACCAGGTACAATATAATTCTGAATAGTTTCACGTATTTCTGAAAATTAACAATATAAATATGATAGGGAAATGTGGTGTGATTACCAATGATACAACTGTCTGGACAAGGATTTAAACAACTATAATATCTGTAACAGATACTCATTGATTGGATAATAGTTATCAATGAGATATATGTGTTTCAATAGTCGACTTATAAGAAAATAAAATGTATTTAGGGCAATTTGGGAACATCATCTTAACAGATCTGATAAAGAGGCATTTACCCCAAAAATACTGCTTAAATTATCATGCAATTCTGATACTTATTAGAACTACTTTTAATAATGTTATTTTGCCCATTTGGGGACCCAAAATGCAAAGGGTAGAAGAGTTCTGTACACAGATCAATTGAATGTATATACAAACTACAGTGCAATTTGCTGTAGAAGTATAACCATTTGTTTCATGGGATCTTTAAATATACTATTTTTTTGTAAATAAACAAAAAAATCTTTTGAATGGTTCTATGCAATTTAAAAATTTAAAGCATAATGGAGAAGGAATTGGGCAACAGTTTTATCTCCTTGAATTAGAAAACCAAACAGTATTACAAATGTATTAAAAAAAACAGCCTCCAGTGTGTTTACAGGACATTAGTCACTCAGATATCAGGTTTTATTTCTTTGAATTATTTTTTGCCCACTATGTCAAATTTTGTCAGTTTCACCATGTTTATGATGTAATATCAACTAAAAAGGACTTTGCAACCAAGTGCCCAAATGTTTTATCATCTTATCATTTTTCATGGAAATTAACAAAATTTTGAAAGGATTTTAGTATTTTTGCAATTTAAGAGTCCAAATAATGGCCAAGAAAACTTATTTCTTTACTTCATAAATCATCATAGTAAAATTGTAATAGCACATACCAAATTATAAAGAAAATATCTAGCTATTAAAAAAGCAGAAGCATTTTGTTTTTATTTAAACAAAACTGAATACAAATAAAAACATGAGTGAATTAGTTAGAAGCATATTTTGTATTTATACTAAATTAGAAGAGACATCTCAATCATATAGAAAAGATATCTTAAAGTAAACATAAGAATCACTAATACAATATATGTAAAATAACATGAACTCCTTACAATTTCAATAGGTTTCTAAAAAACTAAATTAACAGTAGAAATTCTGGAAACTAATTTTTCATTAATGTGTAAATTGCATAGAGGTACTGGTAGAAAAAGAGTACAAAAGGAATTAATTATAAAAATAGGGTATTTGTAAGTAGATGACATTTTAACATGTGATAGAACTAGAATAGACCATTTTCATATTCCCTAATCTGTGGTAGGATATTCTGGTACTCAGTCATGTAAGAGCAACTAAAAGAAGTAAAATCAAGCTTACAATCGCTGCAATTTAGGGAAAAATCAACTGTTCTCCAAAAATTGCCATGAAAATAATATATATAACAGTTATTTTCTTTGCCCAAGTTGCACTGATTGCAAGCTTGATTTTACTTCTTTCAGTTGTTCTTACTTGACCGAGTACCAGAATGTACTACCACAAAGTAAGTAACCTGTCGAAAAATTATATACTCCAGAGTAAAAAGTCTGTAATATGAAAATGGTCTATTGCATCTCTCATCTGATGAACATTTTTAATATATAAAAAAAAATTAAACGCTTGGTTTTTTACAATCTTATGAATGTATGACTTATCAAAGAATGGATCACAATAAAAGATTTCTATACAGTTTGATTTTTCATTTTAAAAATTTTTTTTTAGTGTAATTAGAAAATTTATAAAATTCAAATATGGTCTTAAACAATAAATTTCTTTTAAATTCAAAAGAAACATAATATCATCTCAGAAACTAGTGTGATGTTTTGCAATTTGAAAAAGAAGTGACTATGTTTATTTCAATTACTAATTTTATTTTTACTCATGCATATTTTAAACTTAATACAAGATATGTTTGTGACTCAAATATTATTGAGCTCTAAAGTATAAACACATAATACTCAATATCACCACTGTAGGCTGATGATTTACTTATACATGGGAATTGTAACACATTAATAGAAAATCTTAAAACTTAATTCCCCTTTATCAAATGGATAAAATACCACAGTCTCAAATCATTTTAATATTAAGTACTACAGTGGATTCATCATACTTCATGGGATACCAATTTTCTGAGTTTCGTGAGTAAATAAATCCACAAATTTAATGTTCAACAACATATACACTTTCTGTAGTCTTAAATGCAGACTTTGGCAAAACCATGAAATCAAATATCCATGAAAATACAAGTTTTCTTCAGTCCACAAAAATTGGTTCCCCACGAAAATAAATGAATCCACAGTATTCTATTTCAACAACAAATATTCATCACAGTAAAATTTAATGAAATACATAATCATTTCTAATTAAAACAGTTTCAATTATAATAACTTACCACATAATTGGTACAAACCATTGAACAATTCTCAACATCATTTTATGAAATAGAAAAACAACCTGGATTCCAAAATTATTACCATATATTACTTCAATACTGCATGGGGATTTCTACGCATTGTAAACAAACTTTACAATAATTCATTACATTCTATAACAGTTTAAATAATATCTCATTCTTGTTTTTAGAAAAATAAGACAAAAATGTTTGACAACCTTAAACAGATAAGTACAAAATTTGTAAAAATTCAATTTAAGAATATTAAATAAGCTTAAATGTATGATACAGTAGACTCGGGCAAATCGGATACTCAAAATGTCAGCAAAAATATCCCATTACCAGATACATTTAGTTAGACCATAAATGTATATTCATTGAATCTTCTGCAATAATAAGTTGTCCTAACCTTGAGATGTTACTAGCACTAACCACTGCTATATAAAAGGGTAAGGGTGACTATTTTCTTTTGATTTTTTCAGGTACATCACCAAGATCTTTTTGTAAAAACTTATCAGTTGATTATGTAATGCTCATATTTGTTTTCTGTTTTTGAATCCTTTGTTTATTAAAATAAAACATATGTACTAAAATATTTATGTGAATAAATATCTATCATCCATAGCTTGTGTCATTATTTGTTTCCTAAACAAAGTAATATCCATATTTACATTTCTATGTGGTAAAATCAGAGGTAAGCTAATTAAGCTATAAATAGCTACAGTCAATGGTCACAAGGCTACACATTTTGTAAACAAAGGAAAACGGCGTCCATGACATGTGGTCAAGCACATGTTACAAAATTATCTGACAAAAGCCAGAATTTATGTTCAAAATGGATTTAGATGTATTTTGCGTTAAATTATTCAAGAGGAGGTACATTCAGTTTGAATTACATTTCTGATTCTGTGAACACTAGAAATTTATCAAAATTATATTTCGTGATTCTATGAACACTGGAGTTTTATCAGAATTCTCCCAACGTACTGCACTTGTATTTATAAATAAATGCAAACCATTTGAACTGTCAGGGCATATAATTCACATAAAAAAGGAAGACCATGAATTAAGACAACATATTAATAAGAAATAGTTCATTATATTAAGAAAATACTAAATTTTCTTTTCTGCAAAATTGTAATTGCATAACTTCCTGTCTAAAAAAATTGCATAACTTCCTGTCTAAAAAAATTTAAATTATCCGATTGTATATGGTTTTGATAAAATTTCCGTGAATATTCCTATCAAATTTGCGGAAATAATCTTATATTGGATATTTGATTACAAGATAAAATTTACACTAAACATATAACAAAAAAGAATTGTGGTAGTAATGAAGTGAATCTTTTAGATCGTACAGATTCAACATCAAGTCACATGGAATGAAAAATATTGTATATTGACAACAAATTTTAAATATTAAAATTTTCATTAAAGGAGAGGGTTTGGTGTTTTGAAATAATATTACAATAGCCGATATATTTGTTTAGCCAATATCCGATTAGGTGGAGTCTACTGTATAAGATTAATTTACACAAAACATTCACATTATTTTACAAAACTTTAAAAAATTTGTAAATAAAAATGGCTTGGATTGACTCTAAAATCGTATTGTTAATGTACATGAATTTACACGAATATACACTAATACTCAAAACCCCCTCATAAATCACAGATATAAATCTAGCATTACATAGTCTACACCTTTACTGTATGATTCCCTGAAAGCATATATAACAAATTCCAACAATTAAGTGTACCATGGTCAATCATAAATTGAGATAATGTTCAAATGTCCAAATTTGTGAGTCTTTACCATTACATGGGTTGACCACAACAGTTCCACCCGACTTCACTCCTGCCACATCTAAACATTTCCCTGACTCCTTGTGCTTTATCGTTCCCTTTTCCTGTTAAAATAGAAACATATATACATTTTATAAACATATTTCATAGACCCACTGTTTTGACTGGAACATATTCTCTCAATATACACATTATGGTTAAATCTCAACTTAATTCAACACTCTTTCCAAGCCTTTTATATCATCAAATGTGTGCACATGTGCCCCTGTCTAATATTTTTTCTGTTTCAATCCAGTTATTTACAAACAGAATACAGCTATAACTAAATTAATTTATTTACTTAAAAACTTTCAAATGTTCAATAAAATGTTATATCTTCTTCAAAAAATATATAGGTAGGTCAAAATCAAAATTAATGACAGTGACAAATAATTTACAAGCTTTTATCTTCACAGCCCCTAATCTGTAAGGGCCTCGATGGCCGAGTGGTCTATTTAGTCGAACTACTATATCACTAGCCAATCAACACCGAGGTTGTGAGTTTGAATCCAGTATGTGGCTGGTGCACTTGACTCCTATCTTAATTGACTAGGATTGTAAGTTTTCCTACCGAAGGTTGGTGGTTCTCTCCAGGGACTCTCTCTGGCTTCCTCCATCAATAAAAAGTGACTGCAACCAAATGGCACAATAGTGTTGAAAGTCGTGTTAAACATCAATCAATCATTCCACAAATCTAATCTGTTACACTCCCCATTGACCTCAGTATATTGTTATTTACCACATCCATTATGAGGGAGATATTTTTTAACATTTTTTGTGATCGTTCAAAAAGCAAAAACAAATCCCTATGAGGAATTACTCTACTAATGGACCATTTTTATATTTCACCCATTATAGCCTTCTCATGGTTTATAATTACCAACATATATGAAGAACTTTTCTCTGCAGATCTGTATTCCCTTTATGATCACAAATATAATCAGCTTACCTTGTCATGGACCCATTTATGACTTTTTGCTCCATTACAGTTTTCTAATGGTACATTATTACCAGAATGGTGTACTAGACAACCTTCCTCTCTACGTAGTTCATTATCAATGCTTATAGAAAATACCTGGAAATATTAATTGTCCTAATATGATGCAAAAGCATTAGAATATAAACTGTTAACACAGAGATATGTCTTGCCTATTTGTTATTTTGATAATGCAAATGTTGAAATTAAAATAGCAATACTTTAACATGTAAGTTATGCAAATATTCAAAGTCAATGAACCATGACTGAAGGTACAGGGCTAAACAATCTCAATGGAAATGAGATGTGCAAATGCTAATACAACTGCTAACCAAATACCATTGACTTTTCATAAGTCGTTCCCTTTAAACAAACCTAAACACAAACATTAACTTGTAAACTATGTAAAAGTTTCAAAGTCAATGAACCATAATTAGGGGGTGGGGTTATATAATCTCCATGGAAATGAAACTTGCAAATGCCAATATATTTGCATACCGAATATCATTCGCTTAACATTAGTGGTTCATCTTAAACTGACCTTATCACAAACTAATACATGTAAACTAAGTAAAAGTTTCAAAGTCAATAGACCATGACTGAGGGGTATGGACCAAATATTCTCCATGGAAATAAGATGTGCTAATGCTTATACAACTGCATACCAATTATCATTGACCTACCACTAACAGTTCCCCTTAAACTGACCTAATCACAAACATACATGAAAACTAAGCAAAAGTTTCAAAGTCAATAGACCATGAATGAGGGGGCGGGGCCAAATAATCTCCATGGTAATGAGATGTGCCAATGCTAATAAAACTGCATACCAAATATCATTGACCTACCACTAGTGGTTCCCCATAAACTGACCTAATCACAAACTAATACATGTAAACTAAGCAAAGTTTCAAAGTCAATAGACCTTGACTGAGGGGGCGGGGCCAAATAATCTCCATTGTAATGAGATGTGCCAATGCTAATACAACTGCAGACCAAATATCACTGACCTACCACTAGTGGTTCACCATGAACTAGACCTAATCACAAACTAATACATTGTTTACGCTGCTGCCGCCGTCAACGACGCCAGAAACAGCATACCTATGTCTCACTTTTTGACTCCTTCAAGGCGAGACAATAAACTATTAACTCCATGTACTTACAATGATAAATTTCTAGCTTTTTTGTTATCGTTAAATTATGATTTTATTTTTTTTTTTTTTCAAATTATTCAATCGTGCATTGGTAACTAACAGCTGTTATTATAAATTTTGTCACAAAATGAAAATATCAACAAAAGCAGATGTTTCTCTGGTACTTTTTGATATAAAGTAGGCTCCAGGTGAGTCAGTTGGCTAAACTTTAAAGCCAAAAGTGACTATCAAATGGGGTCCATGTATCAAAATGTTCTATGTAAGAATAGAGAATAACAAAAGCATTGACAAATGAGCTGATGATAAGGGTCTAGTACATGCAAGGAACATGGCATTCTCCTATTTACAGTTTGTGATTTTCCTGGACAGATGAGAGCACAAAAGACTGCTTCTTTTTACATCCTACACAATAATAACAGGTCCAAGGACATGCGTTGTCTACTGTGTTCTCATGTTATTTAAACTAATTTTTTATATTATCAAATTTTCTATTGGAAGTAAAAGTGACAACTATATTTGATTGAGGTTGAAATGTCCAAACCATGCTTTTAGAAGGAAAAATAATAAACAAAATTTTCTCTCTCATGTTTCCAAAAATACATTATTATTTTTATAAACTTAAAATCATTCAGATTAAGCTTGGTTACAATAAACATTTGTAACTACTGTGAAAACTGAAAGTTTTATATGCATTAATAATTTTCAAATGAAAACCTGTAACCTGGTAATCGGACTTGCAAAAGGTTAAAAAAAGGTCATTACAAAGCCTAGATTAGCTAGATAGAACTTGGCATTATAATCAAGAAGCTATAATCTGTCGTTCCGTGTGAAACAAAGAGATAAAAAAACAATATACATGCTCTCATTTGATTGAAAGAAAATTATTTAACTTAGTTCTTATAAGAGATTGAAACATAATTAAAATGTTAAATTTCTCTTAATGTAAATTTCATTGCCATATTAACATCTAATATACCTCATTAGCACTTGCACCATTCTGACAACTAAATAAACCCATATCAAATGTTATCTTCTCATCTTTCTGTAACGTGTCTAAACATAAGTTAGTGGCTGGATTCCGTACCTGGAAACATTACAAAAATATATTTGAAGTCAAAAATTTATTTCATTAATTGATCATTATGAACTAATTTATTGTTTCAACATTTTATCTAGATGCAAATCCCAATATGAGAATATTTTTTTTTATATATAACAGCAATAAATATATTTTGACACCTTTTCTGTATATGAGCTTTGTAATTCTTTTTAAATACCATTGTCAGTAACCAAAGTAATTTTTTTACCCTATTGTGTGAATATAAAATCTAATTAAATTTGTGCATGCATTTGTCTTTACAAGCGTAAGTGAAACTCTTACTACAATGTAGATTTTCAATTGGATAAAAGGTGAATACGATTTCACTGATGTAACCAGGACATGCTCTTTATATCTATTTATATTTTTAAAATTCAGATAAACAGCTGCAAGTTTGCTTTTGAAGATGAAAATAAGAGAACCTAATGATTATAGAAATGATCAAATACTGTTAACTCAGAAATTTTTGCGAAGTTTTTATTTGGCCTCACCAAAAAAAATAATTATTCAGATTTTTCAGATGAAAATAAAGGGACAGCGAGCGAAAATTTCTTTTCTTATATTTTTTAATGAATGTAATAGAGCAAAATTTTTGTTTAGGTGTCTGATATTGATATTTACAATATAAGCAGCATAACTAGGATTCTAAAGTATCCTTGTTTGTCATCTGACCCTAGCCCTGAATCCTAAAACAAACCCTAACCATAAACAGAACTCTAGGCCAGTGGTCGCGTTAACGCAAAATTATGAGTTTCTCACACAGAATTTAAAAAAAATACGCAACATAATTGAGGTCATCCAATCAAAAGGACTAGATTCGAATACACAATTTTTAAGTTTATTTACCAATGGAATACATATCTACAGGTTATAAACACAGTGACTTTCTTCTTAACCGCGGATAACAAGGATGATATTTTGCATCAGAAGATGACTGACAAGAATTTTTAAACAAGTTCTTAACAAGGTTAACCTACAAAATTGTTCTTTTGAGTGACAGTATATACTTGATCAACAATGTGTACTTAAAATCTATCACGCATGTTTTTGTGTCCATTACGCAATTTTTTTGGTGGTCTGCGTTTTTTTCACACAAAAAAAATATTCTATCACAAACCGCTGCTCTAGGCTACTCTGAAGTACAGGGCCCTGCACAGTAAAAGAAGGCAAAGATATCCAGTGAACATGTTCAAAATAGAACAACATCTTTTATTGAGTCAGGTAAATTACTCCACATATCAACAATGACTCTGTTTCCCTACTTCCCGTTTGACACTGAACATTGAACCTCAACTTTCGACTATGTCTCATCGTTTCTGGTGACCATTTTCTAACAACAAACCATTGGTATCTGTGGTCAGCATACGAAGTATAGTGTTTGGCTTCAGGACTTTTGAATTTCGCTTAACAAAATCGATATTGTCAATAAAACTCAGTATATTGAGTCGAAATGGTACGCAGTCAACTAAAAAAAAATGAATTTGGATTCAAACTACAAATGTTCTTGTAAAAATAAAATCGGAAAACATGAAGGGAAAAATAAATTCCAAACAATAAAAAACCAAATCGGAAAATTCGGAGCAGTGATTCTGACAAACAAGACTTTTATTTGGTGTGGCCTTATTGTGGATAATGCTTTTGGTGAGTATCACAATAATAAGAACCTCACATTCTGAAATTTAACACATATATTTGTATAGAGATACTCCTGTGATCACTATAATTATTCCAACATTTTGATCTGTCATGTCAAAATCACCATTATAAATGCAAACAATAATTTCTGAATTTACAGAGTAAATGCTAAATTGACAACTTCACTTATAAAAACTGCAACTTTTATTGGTCAAATTGAAATTAGCAAATGTATGTGACTTACCATACCCCAGGCATACACATTTTCATCTGGTATGAACTTTTCTGGATACACATTTTCCAGAAACCATCTAAAACTTTTACATTTTAAGTTTTCTCTTAATTCTTTTCTTCCAGATATATCTCCATAATCCTGGCCCTGTAATTACAAGTACATTATATTGCATTCATTTCAAAGTATTAAGATATCTGTTGAATAAATCATTTTCAGGGAAGCTTTATCTTTCTCCTAGGTGCCTGTACAAGTTTGGTCTAAGTAGTTCATCTACAGTTAAAACTAGCCTGTCAACACTGAGAATGTGAGTTCAAACACTGCTTATGGCAGGTGCGTTTGACTTGAATCTTAATTGACTAGGATAGCAAGTTTACTGCTGAAAGTTAATATTTTCTCTGGGTACTTCAGCTTCCTCCATCAATAAAAATTGGAAACCATGATATAGCAAAGAGTGCTGAAAGTGGCAATGAGAACTAACAATCAATAGATTATCCATGTGGACCATATATAAAAGATTAGGATAAAAACAAGTTCAACGATCACTAATGATACCCTGCTTTAAGTATTTGGTTAACAAAAAGTTGAATAAATGTGGATAGTGTCCACATGTGGACACAGATGATGCCCGCGCTTGCATATCATATTGTTGTAAAGGGACATAACTGAAGAACGGTAAAAGTGACACCCAAATTTGAACTTGATCTGAGTTTTGTGGTAATAAGCATTGTGTGTAAGTCTCATAACATTTGGTTGAGGCTAACTAAAGTAGAGAACAGAAACTAAAAATTCAGCAATTTTTCTATTTGTAAACACGCATGACTCTAGAACAGTTGTGTATAAGTTTTATAACATTTGGTTGAGACAAACTAAAGTTAGAGATCGGAAACGAAAAATTCAGCAATTTTTATGTTTATAAAGGGACATAACTCAATAATGGTAAAAGTGTCGCCACCAAATTTCGTACTTAATCTGTATTATGTAGTAATAAGCATTGTGTATAAGTTTCATAACATTTGGTTGAGGCAAACTAAAGTTAGAAAACAGAAACAAAAAATTTGTACTTGATCTTAGTTTTGTGGAAATGAATATTGTGTATAGGTTTCATAATGTTTGGTTGGGGCAAACTTAAGTTAGAGAACGGAAACTAAAAATTTTGCAATCTTTTGAGTTATAAAGGGGCATAACTCTAGAACGGTTAAAGTGACACCACCAAAATTCAAACATGATCTGTGTTTTGTGGTATTAAGCATTGTGTATAAGTTTCATAACATTTGGTTGAGGCAAACTTAAGTTAGAGAACAGAAACTAAAAATTTTGCAATTTTTCCATTTATAAAGGAGCATAACTCTAGAACGGTTAAAGTGACGCCACCAAAATTCAAACTTAATCTGTGTTTTGTGGTAATAACCATTGTGTATAAGCTTCATAATATTTGGTTGAGGCAAACTCAAGTTAGAGAGCGTAAACCAATTTAGGGACGTATGGATGGACGTACATACGTACGTACAGACGTACAAGGGTAAAACTTAATGCCCCCACCACTATGGCGGGGGCATAAAAACTATGATTGTGAAAATGCATCACACAGTACAGCATGTTCATTTCAATGTTTGCACTAAATTTTAGGTTCTCTGATTTGCAGTTCCTGAGATAAACGTAAAGAAATTTTCATGAACTGGCAATTAAATGTGTAAGAATAATTAAGAATTCCATTAACAGGAAGTTGATAAGCCATGAATGTGAGAATGCATCACACAGTTAAACATTTCTTCACGAAGCCTTATAAAAAATGCAGAAACCTCTGATTTGTAAAGCACAAGAAGAATTGGAAGGAAATTTCATGGAACGGAGGGACAGATATTGGTAAAACCAAATACCCCTCTTTCCCAGCAGGGGTATAATTAGATTTTGAGAGGAATTTCCTAAATTTGTGAATGATAGTAGCTCTAAAGCATATTCCTGTTAAATCATTAGAAAAATAAACTGCTTCGCTAAGCGCAGCTGGATACGCCCGCAGAGGTCCAACCCTGAACAGTTGGGGCAAAAATGGACACAATATTCAAGCTTGATACAGGTCTGAATTTGGATTGTAATCAAATATTTGACATATTAAAGGTTTCTGAATAAATGTAGTCAAAGAACTTGAAATTGGTTATATGAATTGAATTTATATTCAATTAAAGATTTCTTGCTGTTGTGCAATACACTGTGCTGTTGCGCAATACTAAGTAAATCTGTTGTCAGACTATAAACAAATAAAGTTCAATTTCTTCTCAATGTCATATTTGAAATTTATGAAAATCTATAGGGAGATTACATCAATAGCTATAAATAATTCACGAAAGTTTCATGAGAACTGATGAAAGCATTTTTGAGTTATTGTCGAAAAACTGGAAAATCCCCCCCCTTTTTTAATGAATAAAACCCTATAACTCAGAAATGTAAAATCTAAAATTTATAAAATTCTAAAGGGACCTTACATCAACAGATATAAACAATTCACCAAAGTTTCATGAGAACTGCTGAAAGCATTTTTTAGTTATTGTCTGAAAACTGGAAAATCCCCCTTTTTTTTTAATAATACCCTGTAACTTGGAAATGTAAAATCTAAAATTCATAAAAATCAAAAGGGAGCTCATGTCAATAGATATGAACAATTCACCAAAATTTCTTGCAAGTTGGTGAAAGCATTCTTGAGTTATTGTTGGAAAACTGGAAAATCCCCCCCTTTTTTAATGAATAAAACCCCAAAACTCGGAAACGGTAAATCTGAAATTTATAAAAAATGAAAGGGAGCTCACGTCAATAGATATAAACAATTCAATAAATTTCATGCATATTGGTTAAAGCGTTTATGAGTTAATGTCCGACATGTTGACGACAGACGGACGGACAGACAGTCAACAGTATACCATAATACGTCCCGTAAACGGGCGTATAATTAAAAGCAAGGCCATAAATCAAAGTGTTGCCTGGTGATCACAAAAAACTACAAGTTCTCTCCCTTTCTATAGCCACACAACATTTGTTTTTTCTAAATGGCCTTAAATATTGCATACTGTGTAACTTACTAAGAGATCTTTCCTGTGCATATAAAATAATCTTTTATACTCATCCATCCACACTTCTGCCAACCTCATGGAATTTATGCCATGTGTATCTTTATTTCCTGAAATTAAAAGCCAACATATAAAGTTTGATTTATGTCATTTCTATATTCACAATCTGAATCACCAATTTAAATGAACCGAACATTTTTCTGCTAACTGTTTGCATAAGACTGTTGATTGCTTCAAAAGTATGACTTACTCATGATTGCAGCACAATTTACTGTTTAGAGCATTTTCAAGGAATGTTTCCTTCATTGAAAACTTCAGGCAAATTATTGAAACAAAATATATTTCATTTGTACTTATATTAATTTCTGCACAAAATTACATAAATACCTATAGTATCAAATTACACCATGACCAATATACAATGCATAATTATGACGTCACATACCTGATGCCATCACCCTGTACTTCAGGGATTCTAATTTTGTACACTTTGAACTTAAGACGCTGGTCTAATCATTGAAACATGTCGACCAATTAAAGTTGCAGTTTACTTAAGTGTTGGTGACAATTAAGCAGTATTTAGTTATTGAAATGTTCATTAGGGTAAGATATGTACATCTTAACAGAAAATGATGTTGGTCTATATATAAGGGTATGTTGTCTGAAAAAAAAAAATATTTGACACAGCACAGGTTTCTGACACAGAATGAATGTGGTCTAAGAACTTAAAAATTTTTAATTTACCTATTCAAACCATATCATTATTTGCTTTTATATATAAATCAGAAATAACCAATTTAAAATGGAAAATTTTAAAGCAAAAAAAAGGAAAATAAAAATCCCCCCCCAAATTTTTTGAACTCCCTTATGATTCTTCACCCCCATACTCAATCCCAGCCTTCCCTTTGTGGTATGGTACCTGCAGTACAATTTCAGAGAGATCCATACACTTGAACACAAGTTATTGTCTGGAAACTGGGAAAATGCTTGTTTTTTGGCCCCAAATTCCTAAATGTTTAGGGCAATTACCCCCAAACTCAAACCCAGCTTTCCCTTTGTGATATGGAACCTTGTAGTACAATTTCATAAAGATCAATACACTTACACACAAGTTATTGTCCTGAAACTAGAAAAATGCTTGTTTTTTGCCCCTTTTTTGGCCCCTAATTCCTAAAATTTTGAAGCAATTACCTCCAAAATCCATCCCAGCCTTCATTTTGTGGTATGATACCTTGCAGTACAATGTGTCTTTGGACGATGACGATGACGACAACGACGACGCCGGACAACGACGCCAACATCATACCAATATACGACCACAAAAAAATTTTTGCGGTCGTATAAAAACAAGAGTGCACTGACTGTAATGTCTTGCCTGCTTTACTGACCGTTGAGTTTATGTTGAAAGTGTTAAAGATAAAGGTTTAACTGCAAGTATCACATAATTTAACATTTTTAAAGATCCATGACAATGAGGTCAAGGTCAGATAAATCCTGTCATACAGACATGTACACCTTAGAATTATTGCATACACCAACTAAAGTTGACCTATTGCTTAAGGTAATTGAAAAACAGACCAAATCACAAAAAATTAACATTAACCAAAGAACCATGAAAATGAGTCACGGTCAGATGAAACCTACCAGACTGACATGTGCCTCTTGCAATCATTCCATACACCACATATAGTTGACCTACTGTTTATAGTATCTGAGAAACTGACCTAATCATGTAACTTTAACCTTGATCACTGATCCATGAAATGAGGTCGAGGTCAGGTGAATCCTTTCTGATGGACATGTAGACATTACAAGGAACCCATATACCAAATATAGTTATCCTTTTACTCAAAATAAGTGAGAAATTCACGTGACAAAAAAAACTATAATATTTTTTCAAGCAATGCTGAACCATGAAAATAAGGTCAAGGACAATGGACATATGACAGACAGCAACTTCGAAACATGAGGCATCTGCATATGAAGTATGAAGCTTCCAGGTCTTCTACCTTCTGAAACATAAAGCTTTATACAAATAGTTTACATCGCTGCCAGATAGTAATCCCTATGTCTTGCATACTGCAACATTTGTCGCAGGTGAAACAACAAATTAGTGTAAACATATTTTATTAATTAAATTCAAGTTAAATAATGTACACAATTTGGCATTTACATATTAATACAATTGAATGATTAATAGGATCCGGAAACAAGCTGTTAACTTATATCAATCCGTTTCCTAGAAACAACAAATTAAGTCAATCATTTCATATAAATTCATTACCAATAGTATTTCTCATAATCAGTATGCTACATTTGTAGTACTTTACCTGGAAATGTGTAAGGGTGACTAGATCTAAATATATGACCAACTCTGGAACAAGGTATAAACTCTAATTTTCCACCACACATCCATGTCTGCAAAGACAAGAATGTAGATCATATATGTATTTGTTTAAACATAAAAACATAACTGAATCCTTAAATGTCTACCTTTATTCTGATACCAACACAAAAACAGTATCCACAGAAAAATTAAAACTAGGTCTGAATTTTTTTATTACACTGAAATACATATGCATTATATACTAAGCTACTAAAAAGTGAAAAATAAGCATCTCAACTTGTACGATTCGCTCATGTATGTAATAACATATTAGATTTTAGCGAAAGATATCTATGTATTACTGAAAAATTATTACACCAGGGTTTTCATTATCACAAACTAGTCAAAAAATTTACTAAATTTTATCATCAGTACAAGGACATCATTCGTAAATATAAATCAACATGCAGACATCTTATACGTTCATGTATTTCACATCCAATCTTTTATGGTAATATTCTTTACAAAGCACAAAAATGTCAGCATTCACCTCTAAAGCTAACTAGAGGCTCTCAAGAGCCTGTGTCGCTCACCTGTATTTACTGATGCTTTGGAAATCATGTAAAATAAGGTTAAAATCATAATTAATAGTAATAGATATTAGATATTATAATGATATCTAAGATAATAACAAAAAACTGCAAAATTTTTGTAAAATTACTAACTCAGGGGCAGCAACCCAACAACAGGTTGTCGGATTCGTCTGAAAATTTCAGGGCAGATAAATCTAAATCTGAAGAACATTTTTGCCACCTGTCAGATTTGCTCTAAATGCTTTAGTTTCAGAGATATAAACCAAAAACTGCATTTTTCCCCTATGTTCTATTTTTAACCAAGTCGGCCATGATGGTTGGAAGGCGGGGTCCTCGGACAAATTTTTAAAACTGGATACCCTAATAATGATTATGGCCAAGTATGGTTAAATTTGTCTCAGTAGTTTCAGAGAAGAAGATTTTTGTAAAAGATTACAAAAATTTACAAAAAATTGTTAAAAATTGACTATTAAGGGCAATAACTCCTAAAGGGGTCGACTGACAATTTTGGTCATGACAACTTATTTGTAGATCTTACTTTGCTGAACATTATTGCTGTTTACAGTTTATCTCTATCTACAAAAATATTCAAGATAATAACCAAAAACTGCAAAATTTCCTTAAAATTACCAATTCAGGGGCAGCAACCCAACAACAGGTTGTCAGATTTGTCTGAAAATTTCAGGGCAGATAGATCTTGACCTGATAATCAGTTTTACCCTATGTCAGATTTACTCTAAATGCTTTGGTTTCAGAGATATAAGCCAAAATCTACATTTTACCTCTATGTTCTATTTATAGCCATGGCGGCCATCTTGGTTGATTGGTGGGGTCATCGGACACATTTTTTAAACTATATACCCTAATGATGATTGTGGTCAAGTTTGGTTAAATTTGGCCCAGTGGTTTCAGAGGAGAAGATTTTGGTAAAAAGCTAACGACGACGGACAACGGACGCCAAGTGATGAGAAACCTTTAAACAGACTTATCAAGAAGGGATATAGTTATGATACTTGATTCACTTGTCATGCTTGTAGGGTCTTTGCCTCGGAAATAAACACATTTATTCTAAAACCAGTTGTTGGCATGATACGGGTTATGTTCTTCTCATATATTTTATGATGGTATGATACTAAACCCCTAACGGGTGGGATTGTGCTTGATATTCATATGATGAAGACATAATCTTTCAATCAATTTAATTGAGGTCTGGAGCTGGCATGTCAGTAACAGCTAGTAGTCCTTTGTTAATTTATGTATCATTGTCATTTTGTTTAGTTTCTTTTGTTACCTATTCTGACATCTGACTCGAGCTTCTTTTAAACTGAGTTTTACTGTGCGTATTGCTGTGTGTTTGTTTTTTCTACATTGGCTAGAGGTATAGGGGGAGGGTTGAGATCTCAAAAACATGTTTAACCCAGCTGCATTTTTGCGCCTGTCCCAAGTCAGGAGCCTCTGGCCTTTGTTAGTCTTGTATGATTTTTAATTTTAGTTTCTTTTATATATTTCGGAGCTTAGTATGACGTCCATTATTACTGAATTAGTATAAATTTTTGTTTAGGAGCCAGCTGAAGTACGCCTCTTGGTGTGGGATTTTCTCGCTGTATTGAAGACCCATTGGTGGCCTTCGGCTGTTTTCTACTCTTTGGTCGGGTTGTTGTCTCTTTGACACATTCCCCATTTCCATTCTCAATTTTATCTGGTGGAAATCAGTTAATTTTGAAGGGTAATTATATTTTTGAACCAACCTTTTTTGCTTAAATCTGTTAATCAAAAGAAAAGATTCTTAATTTTTTCACATGTTTTCTGCAGTAATGATGACCAAAAACAAAGACCTCTTTGTTTTATTTTCTTTTTGGACACTAATATAAGATATGATTTCCATTCTAAATTTTAACTTTCATTTAAAAATTTTGTATAAGAGTACATTTGTACTTGGTTTTCTGAGTACAAGCAAACATGTTTTTTTTTTAGAATTTTCTAATTTTTTTGGTCAAATTTTGTATAAGGGTACTTGGTTTTGTGAGTACAAGCAAACATGATTTTTTTTCAAAATTTTCTGATTTTTTTGGTCAAATTTTTTTATTTTCAGAAATAGTGATAGCAACATTTGATAATGTATTGGCCAAAAATTAAATCATGGTTTGGTAAAAAGCAGTACACAAGATATCCTTTTGTCAAGTTTTTTTTAGTAATGGAGAAGGGTCATGTTTGAAGGCAGTTGGATAATTAGCAACAATTCTGTAAGATCATAAATGTATTGTAAAAGTAATTCATACTTTTCTTAGACTATGGGCTATTTACATTTTGACATGTAACATGTATAATATAGCACTCCTGGTGGAGGTTTCCTCCCTGAGGTTATCACCAGTCAAGTAGTCAGTACTTCTGTGTTGACATGAAATATCATTGATATGGTCATAATTATAAATTAACAGTTTAAAAACTTTGAATTTTTCGAAATACTTAGGATTTTCTACCCCAGGAATAGATTACCTTAGCTGTATTTGGCAAAACCTTTCGGAATTTTGGGTCCTAAATGTTCTTCAACTTTGTACTTTATTTGGCATTTTTAACTTTTTTTATTCAGACATCACTGATGAGTCTTTTGTACACAGGTGTCTGGCGAACAAAATTTTAATCCTGGTATCTATGATGAGAGTATGTTCACTATAGAATGTCTCGGAAATATTTTTGTAGACCTTGATACATCTTTTGTGTATACTTTTGTTTTTTGGTTTTTGTTTACATGTACCATATATGTACTAATTTCAAATTTTTATATCATTAAATTAAGAATTTTACCTTAAAATTATAATCATGCGAACAAGTTAATCACTTCTTATTAAATTCAATGAATCATGATGAAAAGAAATACAAAAATGTTCCATAAGAGTTAACTGTGAGTAATTTGGTATGACACAAGTCAAACTACCCCTAAAATAAGTCATAAATTTTGAACAAAATGAGCCATAAACCTCAGCATCATCATATAATCAAATATAAAAGATTGCCACATATCTATATATTTCACATACTTACTCTAAATGAAATTTCTAAATTTTCTCCTCCCCACACATCCATACCAGGATCATAGGATCCAAGCTCAAAGAAATATTTCCTGTCAGCAGCAAACAGTCCTCCAGCCATTGTAGGAGATCTGATTATAGGAAAAAAGACTTGATATTTGTTATCATTTACATTCATGACATAAGGCCAAGAAAAAATCTATTTTCAACTCCATGTTTGTGTTTGTGTTTCAATCTTATATATTTTCTGTTTGGTTCCTTTATCTTCCATATATGTGGATAAAACTATTTATTGTTCCTTGCTTTAATGACTAAATTCATTGGAGATTGGAGTTCAGCATTGGCACTCATTATAACATTAACCATGCTTACAATATATGGATGAATTATAAAGTACATTTTCATAGTTATAATGGCCAATAAAATCAGTAGGCTTCTTGCAGGAAGATGGTACTTACATTTATCAAAATATTAGAAAAAAATGATATATTCAGTGTGATTTATAATTTTGATGTTGTTGTGCACATAAAATTGTAGAAGTACCAAATGAAGTATTTTCAAACAGGAAGTGACTGCACAGGTCAGATCTGAAATTGCTTACACGGTACAACTCAAAACTGTCAAGTTACAGATCAAATATCAAATCATTCTTTATTACAGAAGCTGAAAAATTAGTGATTTTGTGTATGATTTATACATTTTATTTTCCATTTTATTATTATTCTACAATATAGCAAACAAATTAAAAAATATAATTTTACAATAATTCCGATCCATGAAGATTCTAATGTGTAACATAATATTATGATTTAAACATCAATTTCATTTGTGGAATTTTTTTTCTTGTATTGCTTTGTACTAAAACAGTGATATTAAAATAAATAAGAGAAGCATATTTGTATCTGTAATATATTAAATATAAATATTTTATCTACTGTATGCAACAATATATAATTATACAGAGGAGAAAACAATTAACTGTCCAATGATTATCATCATACAATATCAAGATTAAATAATTCAAGAGGCATACTAGATGAATGAAAAGTTTTGCAAAATCACATACAGATTGCCCATTTGTATTAACAAAAGCAATGATTTTGAAAAAAAAACCAACCACATATGAAATTAGAGGTTTCAACACATAAAAAAAGTATATTATTAATAAAATATTTCTGTTTTATCAGTGTTCATACTGACAATTAACACTGACAGTTACCGTACAGGATCTGTGTATTGCCTGGAAGTTTTATCTCGTTCTGGGACATCTCGCCATGTAAAATGCATACTCCACGTAAACCCCCCAACCTGGTACCCGCCATTTTTAGAATACTCCAATGTATCATCCAACACAGCATCCACAATGGGACACAGGACATTTCGTCTGTCCTCCTTTATCCTGGCTAATAAAGGCTCAAGCCTATAGAAAGACAGCAACAAAAGAAAAGTTTCTACCAATGAAAGTCTAATCATGCGCAAGTTAATATATGTTCAATTGACTTGTGTCATTTTCAATGAAGATTTTATCTATTTTCTTCAAGCATTGTCAAGTGTTGGTCAATTTATTGTTAATTATCCTAAATCTACCATTGATTCATCATTATTTGCTTGCTACCAATTTTTGTGGATTTTGTTGGTAAGGTAAACCATAAATTAACATGGTCATGAAGTATTAATTTTATACAGACTTGATTGCAGAACTTTTCAAATCCATGAAATCAAATATCCACAATATACATTTGTTCCTCAATCCACAAACATTTGGACCATGAAAAATAACTGAATCAACAGTATGTAAAGGATTTGTATACTTAATTATTTGAAAGAATCACATAGTCCATAGGAAAACAAAATGAGAAAAGTCAACTGTCTATATATACTTTTAAAACTACATGCATACCTTGACACTAATGTTTTAAAGTAACTTGCACCTTTTTTGATATTCACATCAATTTTTTTTTAGATGTAGATTGACATAACATGCATGATAAAAGGATTAGGAAACATTCTCCAAACCATTTTCATCCATGTAAAAAGCATAAAAGTGTTAGAGCCACTCCCAAAAATTCTTTTATGATAAAGGTATATGAAGTCTTGAAAAGACGAGTAGATCCTTTATAGAAGTTCTTACTAAAATAAGTGTTTAAGTGATTTTGTGAAAGCCTGCTACCCTCAAGTATATGAAATTAAGGTTTTGGTTGCTTCAAACCAAAGACTTATTACAATCAACTGGTACATTTAATTTACTGCTTCAACCTGAAGCATACAGCATTACAGAATACAAAAAAGACTATAAGCAACCCAAGAATACAATGAATACAGTTATGACATCTAAATAGGAACATATCGTTTTCAAAAGACAGGTTTCTGTATCCTGTGTCAAGTTTTGAGTTGTCCCATGTCCCACATCCAGAGAAGTTGTGAATAAAATTAACAAAGACTACCAAATATCTGCCATAACCATCACATTCCTTAAAGAAAAAGAACAAAGACATTCACTACTGACCTACATAATCTGGAATAGACACAACATTAACTCAAGTCTTGGAAAAGACACATCAACTGAAAAAATCAATTTTTTGAGTAATTACTCTTCCCTATTTTTTTTTGTAATTATACATAAAAAGAATGACAGGAATGAACAAAAAATTGGACAGCACAACATACCACACCACAACAACAAATATGAGCGAGAAAAAAAACAGACATACAAACATCATGGAACAACACATGGAACAAAATACCTGACTTGGTACAAGCACAAATTGTATCAGGGTTTTTTGTGAGCACCCCCCCCCCCCCCCTCCAAAAAAAAAAATTGTTTTGCCTTTCTAGTCCATACCATATGTATTGAAAGAAAAACATGCTATAAGAAATCTGGACAGTTCAGCTACCAACAGGATGATCACTAACTGAATAAGGAAATACCGGTAAAAGACAGCACATATTTGGGAAAGCATGGCCAAAATGTGCTTGCTACAACATGATGCTAGCTTACAGCGTTTGGTTGATGTTCTTGCTTTTAAACATTTACAGAGGATGATTGGTTGTTTGCTTCTTGCTTAACGTCCAGTGGCAAATGTTTCATGCATGTTTATGGCCAGAACAAATTAACAATAAATACAGTAGGTAGGTCCTGTAAAAGATGCCATCTGGGATAAAAGTTGTGAAAATTTGGAATGCCACTGGACAATGAGGATATATTGGATATATAGGGACAAAATTTTGCCTTGTAATAGGCCACCTACGAACCCCTTAAAGAGTTGTTACAAGGGTTATTAACATGTAGAGAGCATGGCACTCTTTCTACACGAGGCATCAGATTTAAGGTCCCCATTTTGACCAGAGATGGCTTCGTACTTGTATATCCTGCACAACCAAATGGACACCTCACTTTGGCAAGGGTTTTGCTGCCGGTCGGAAGAAGATCTGTAGTAACCATATTTCTATTCCCCTATTACCCTTGGGGGCATTTATAGAGGAGTTTAATAGGCCAAACAAAGATGTTTTGGCTTAAACATTACCTGCATATAGGACATCTATACAGACCAACAATGTTTAATGATCAGGGATATAAAAGGATGCCTTAAACTTCTTTAGACAAGAAATATATAGCAAGTAACAATAAAATTGCATGTAAAGACAAATCAATCATACCTCAAGATGTCTTTCCTTAACAGGTTATATGTAATGATTTATGCATATGCATTCTAAACTACATGTATTTTGTTTTTCAGATAATAATTTTCATGAATGTTCCTAGGCAGCAAGAAACATCAAATTCAAATATTCAATGACATATTAAGTCACTAAATAAGGAGAAAACTTATATGGAGGCTACAGCTAAAAATGCATAGGGCTATTCATAAATTAGCAATGCCTGTTTATCTTTCATTATTTATTGGGTTTTTACACATGATATTTGGTATGAAGGATCTTTTGACAAACTTGTTATTTGATCTTCTATAGACATGATAGATGACTATAGACAACTGTGGTAGAGTTCATCAACCTTACAGAGAAGATGTTTTAGGTGATGGATGTATAGCAGAAGGGCATTTGATGTGAACACTTAGAGATAGCAATCACTCACTTGACTAGAATGGCCAAAGGAGTTCTATTGCTAACACCAAACAAACATAAAAAAATTTAAAATAGGTTCTGTTGAATCAAAAGAATGTTCCTGTTAGTATATATTTTGTCAAATATTTAACAGGCAAAACTAGCTAAATTGTTGACGTTCATCCAAATACTACAACTTCACCCAATCAAGGATTTTATATATGCTCAGTTTCCAATATAAACAATGCACTAGGTAAGTGTTCCCCTCTAGTATTGTCATTTGTATCTTGATAGTCTATTAGTGTAATGGCCAGTAGATTTTCTGATTCCAAATTATTTTACATTAAGCAGCATTACCTGCTAATTAGTTTTAACATTGGACAGTTGTTCATCCTTGAATTTGACAGGTTTTTCTCTCCTAATGAAATAGGAACAGGATATCTTTCATGTCAAATTTCACATTTTCTTCTTTCACAAGATATTTGACAAGGGAATTTCTTTTTCATTTTGGTTGCTGGTAAACCATGAAAATGACCAAGAGAAATACTGAAATGAATGAACTAAGTTTATGTTCCACTTGTTGACCTTGAAATAAACTAGGAAGTTATTGACAAAAAGGGGAATCCTCTACAATGCTCTGATTATATATGCACCCAAGGGATGAAAATGCTTATAAATAGATCAGTAAAATTCAAGTCACTGACTAAGCATATATGGGGACTAGTACTGCCATCTTAGATAAGACAAAATAACAATGTTTTAGGAAAATATTTATACAATGTACACAGGTTATGATTAAAATGTAGAAGTTGGATATATATAGGCAAATAAAATAGAACTGAAATAACTAAAAATCTAATACTATGTAAGACTACTGACCAACAAAGCAGTTCAGAGATGCATCACGAATGAAATAAAACGGGAATAAAACCCTATGAAAAACTCTTCACAAAACTGCACCACATCATGCTTGAATCACTTAAGATTAATTTTTCGGTGAACCTTAATTATATATATATATAATGGGCCTACTAATTGTTATAAGTGGAAACCACTATAATTTGTAATGTAAAAGGTAGAACTTTTATTTCAATCATATCTCTGGATGTCTTTCCTAAACAGGGGGAGGGGGTAGGCTCCCGAGAATCAGGATCTAGAGCCTTCATAGAGGATTTTATTTTGAAATAAATATGGCTATAATTTACCATGATTACATTTTTTGGTTTTTAAGATGGTCTCTGTTGGGTAAGGACAAGCTGGGTGTGCCCATCTCTGAAATTGTAAGATTGGTTTGATGAATTTTGATAAATCACATGTTCTTTAAACTTGTCTTGTATAATTTCCAACCATATCATTGGGAACATTGATCCTCTTTACATCACTGATTACAACATTTATTCACTCTCAATAGTTTACTTTTTAAATTGTGAGGTAAAATTTTGAATATGTAACTGTAGTGGTGGATAAATATCTTATCAACAGGGTGGTATTGGTACAGGCAGAAATATACACAATACAAACACAGCATTAAATTATCCTGCCTGACAAAGAAAGCCATTTTGTAAAACTGACAATGTGATTGAGGTATCTAATACACAAAATATGTGGAATTAAACTAGTGGTAGTAATTACAAGAGTGCACACGCTGAAATGTCTCGCCTTCTTTACTAATCATTGATATTATGTTGATAGTCCTAAATATAAAGCTTTATTACAACTGTCACATAAACTTAACATTAACCAAGTAAACTAAACATTGACCAATGAACCATGAAAATGAGGTCAAGGTCAGATGAACCATGCTAGGCAGGCATGTACAGCTAACAATTCTTCCATACAACAAATATAGTTGACCTATTGCTTATAGTTTAAGAAAAACAGACGAAAACACAAAAACTTAACACTGAGCAATGAACCTTGAAAATGAGGTCAAGGTCAAATAAAACCTGCGTGACTGACATATAGATCATAAAATATTTCCATACACCAAATATAGTTGAACTATTGCATATAGTATTAGAAAAAAAGACCAAAACTCAAAACTTAACTTTGACCACTGAACCATGAAAATGAGGTCAAGGTAAGATGACACCTGCCAGCTAGACATGTACACCTTACAATCATTCCATACACCAAATATAGCTGACCTATTGCATGCAGTATTAGAAAAAAAGACCAAAACTCAAAAACTTAACTTTGACCACTGAACCATGAAAATGAGGTCAAGGTCAGATGACAACTGCCAGCTAGACATGTACACCTTACAATCATTCCATACACCAAATATAGTAGACCTATTGCATACAGTATAAGAAAAACAGACCAAAACACAAAAACTTAACTATAACCACTGAACCATGAAAATGAGGTCAAGGTCAGATGACACCTGCCAGTTGGACATGTACACCTTACAGTCCTTCCATACACCGAATATACTAGACCTATTGCTTATAGTATCTGAGATATGGACTTGACCACGAAAACTTAACCTTGTTCACTGATCCATGAAATGAGGTCGAGGTCAAGTGAAAACTGTCTGACGGGCATGAGGACCTTGCAAGGTACGCACATACCAAATATAGTTATCCTATTACTTATAATAAGAGAGAATTTAACATTACAAAAAATCTGAACTTTTTTTTCAAGTAGTCACTGAACCATGAAAATGAGGTCAAGGACATTGGACATGTGACTGACTGAAACTTCGTAACATGAGGCATCCATATACAAAGTATGAAGCATCCAGGTCTTCCATCTTCTAAAATATAAAGCTTTTAAGAAGTTAGCTAACGCCGCCGCCGCCGCCGCCGCCGCCGCCGCCGCCGGATCGCTATCCCTATGTCGAGCTTTCTGCGACAAAAGTCGCAGGCTCGACAAAAATCATGAAAATGTAAGATCAATCTACAATCAAATCGAAATAAACTGATTGAGCTGAGAGAAAATATTTATATGCTTGTAAATTGAAACAGCAGGTGATCCTTTCTCCATTATTAATCCCATCTGTTAAGAACTCGATAGTTGAGCAGGGTATGCTATCATGTTTCAAGGATTAAGACAGTACATGCAAGAAAATCAATTAAATATGATTATTTTCAATAGAGCTGCTTTGAAATGTGTGCAATACCAGATCCTGTACATGTAACACATATATATATATATACATACAACCAAAACTTTTGATTAAAATGTATTTGTTACAAAATGGTTCCAGACTGGTTACCTAATGGGATCAACTGAAGACTTCCTCCTGTTCTTTTCATGGCTAGGTATAGGACGCCATGAGAAGTGTAAACTCCACCAGAAACCTCCGACACTAGAACTTCCAGTTCCACCATAACTTAATGACATTTTATCAATGTTATCTATACTGGGACATAGGACAACCCTTCTATCTTCTTTTATTCTGGCAAGGAGTGGCTCTAACCTATACATGCACAGTTGTTTTGTATTATTTAATCAGCTTCAAATATTGAAATGATAAATGTTTGGTTTTATTTGACAAGCAATTGCAATCTTAAATATGATATATATCAGAACAATAAAGTTCACATTTGTATCTACACAGAAACATGTTTGTCATTATCATTAATACAGTAAAATTGCACTGAATAAATCATACTGTATACTATTTCCACTAAAGTTCTTTATTTTTTTAACATGATTTTATGATACATGTAATAAAATTAACAGATGTCACAGAATCATGTGTCAATCTAGTTTTTATCTAAAAAATCATTGATATTTTATACTTGATGTCAGGTTTAAAAGAAATCTATAATATATTATAGCTAAATCAATATTGTTTCTACATTTGTACCTAGAGAAGTTGAATATATTTGTACATATTGCATAACAATGTGGTAGTAATTGCTTCAACAAAATTCATAGGTTTGATCCAATGAATTATTGTATTGAATTCTTATCATGCTTATATTTACATAAATATTGTATGTTTGGAAAGCTGGGAAAGGGCTATGAAAAGCCAGGTGTATTGCAGTTCTTTAAATTTCCCTTCACATCTCAATTAATCAAAATTTAAATCTCAAAAGGAGACTGTCATGACTGTATGATAAATAAAATTCCATACCACATCTCTGAAGCTTCACAATGAGAGTCTAGAAATATTATAACATCTCCAGTAGCTGCCTTGGCTCCTGCCAGACGGGCTCTTATCAACCCACTTCTTTGTTTGGTCCTGACAATTTTTACAACACCATCAGGCCAGGTTTTAGCAACATACTCTTTTAACTTGTCTCCTAATTCAGCTGAAAAATTCATTGTTTTTTATCAAAGTTATATTGTAGGTCAATATAAAAGTGATTGATATTCATATTTACACAAAGATGTTGTTAAATGATATTGGATACCCTGCATTTATCATGCTTTTCAATAACATATGATCAAATCGCTGAAAGACCCCCTCCTAAATTATTGAAAACAAGTGAAACTGCGAGCTAATGCTCACTGATGATACCCCCAGCCCAAATATTTGACGGTAAACAGGAAGTTGTTGAGTGATGAATCTGAAAACGCATCACACAGTATAGCTGACTTATATAAACACTGAAACCAAATTTCAGAAATTCTTGTAATGTATTTCCTGAGAAAAATGTGACGAAAATTTTCAACTTGGATGTGTTGTGTAAAATGATGTAAGTGTTCGGTAAACAGGAAGTTGTTGCGTGATCAATCTGAAAACGCATCACACAGTATAGCCGACTTATAGAAACCCCGAAACCAAATTTCAGAAATCCTTGTATTGTAGTTCCTGAGAAAAATGCGACGAAAAATGTTCATGGGACGGACTGACGGATGAATGGACAGACTGATGAATGGACAGACTGAGGTAAAACAGTATACCCCCACTTTTTTAAAGCGGGGGTATAATTATCATTCTGCATTGACAATATCTTGGTTAAAATTAGATACACCCTTTCAGCCTAATGCCCTCAAGGTGTATGAAATACATATAAAAAACATACAGACTGACATACTACAATGTACTATAGAGTATGAAAAACATATACAATTCATTTTAGATTACAAATATATTTTTTCCTGTTGATGTTGATAAATTTACAATAAATTTTTTTTTTTCACAGTGCAGACATATATTTTGTTAATGTGAACATGATATGCTAAAGTTAGGTTTGTCTTTTGTCTGAAATTCACTACGTCATGCATGATCATGAGCAACCACTACTCTTATATGCAAGAATGTCAACAATGAAATACATGAAATATTAGCCTATTGAAGGCAAGGTACATTTGTAAGTGTGGTTCAAATTAGCCAGATGTGTACATGTACCTTTGAAATTTCAGTTTAGGAGAAAGAATGGTTTCAAATTTATAATGATTATTGCAATTAATTAAAACCAGAATTGTTATGGCCAAAGCATATCATATGGCTACTGAAGAGAACAGAAGTGGTTGTCATGATTTGATGCAAAATTAAATTAATGTACATACGTCTATCACTAAAATCATCCAATAAAATAACTTCATGAAGATATTCTGGTGGCGATCTGTTAACAACACTGTGAGCTGTCCTCAACAATGGAGACCATGCTTCATTATGAAATATGATTATCACACTAGCTGTAGGTAATTCTTTAGGATACCTTATATTTTTGCACCTAAAATGAATTATAGAATTTTTTTTTTAAAGTTAAAACAATGTGATCTAACTCTCTGTAAAAACATGTATGTATATGTACATGTATAACACACATATATATATACATTAAATATGCATAATATTTGCAATTGAATATTACTGGACTTCTCAGTAATATGGTTAAAGTGGCTACCTACATTTGTTCTTGCTGTGATGGTCATCTCTGAATACACATATACATAGGTGGGGTTCGTGTTGCTCAGTCTTTAGTTTTCTATGTTGTGTTTTGTGTACTGTTGTTTGTCTTTTGGTCTTTTTCTTTTTTTGCCATGGCGTTTATTTTCAACATGAGTTGGAATTAATGTCCCTTTGGTATCTTTCACCTCTCTTTTAAATATATCTAGGGGGAGTGAGCACTCAAATGCAATGGTTGTCTTTTGTTGCTGTTTGCCATTTTTTATATTTTTTATTTATTGTTTTTAGCAAAAATCAGACAGTCTGGTTTTCTCTTTTGAATTGTTTCACATTTTGTCATGCCTGTGCATTTTAGACTTTAGAGATAACTTTACAATACAAAGTATGTGTTTTGCTCATAATTGCATTGTTGAATGCTATAACCTAAAAGCATTCATGTTATTGTTGTTTATACATGTATTCTTATCCTTTGGTCTCTGGTAGATATGTATATACATGCACATGTAGTTGTCTCATTGGTAATCATACCACATCTCCTAACTTTATATTGCTGGTGTTTTATCAAATGTCCCAGAAACACTTCTTTGAAGCAGTTTGTGGATGTTGCCTGATGAACATGTTAAAACATTAATTAAATGGAATATACAGAAAGATGTTTTACATGTAGTGTCAATCATCTCAACCACTTATATTTAGTTCAGTGAAAATTCACCACCAAGACGTGTTTAAAACTGAATGATCAATCACCTTATATTCATATAATATTTGAATTAAAGTACAAGGTGTTATCTATGAACATGGTATCTAGCTATAGTCAAAATAATCTTTAAAATGTACAATGAATGTTGTTTTCAAAGGCTATTTCATCATTTTTTTTGCTTGATGCAAAACAAAAAGCTGGCCAGAATTTATTTTTTAAAAAGCTGTACAAGACATATTTTTTTTTCCTTATGTACATACATGTATATGCATCATCATGTACATGTACATGTACATAATACATTGACATAAACATTGTAGGAATGTTTGTTTTTGTTGCATTGTATATATTGATTTTTTGGGGAAAGCTTTACTCTCTGGCCAGGTAGAAAGACCAGCATTTGCCTGACAGGGAAATTATTGTCTTCTCTCAAATTTTGCCTTGGAATCTAGAATTTAGTGGAAAATATAACATGAAAATAATTGTGTTGAATAACAAAATAAACTGTTATATAAAAGCAAATATCTGAATATTGGGGCGGGAGCTCGAGGAGTAAACCAGCTATTATAGTTGTCTCCTATCATGCCTATGCTTAGCTAACTTTTTACATGTACATTTGTACATGTAGATAATTTTTATTGTTGTAGCTAGGTTGTTTTTCATTTACTATATATTAGGATTTTGATAGAACACATGTAGAACTAAGCCTTCAATCCCAACTTAGAACTGGCTTCACAGAACTAAACTACTACAAGAAACGAGTTGGCCAAACCATCGCCATGGTCATGCAGCTGTGCAGCACCCGAAACACCTCACCACTTTCTCTTGGAGTGTCCTTGTTATGAGAATGAACTAGAAAATATGTTCCATTAAATATCAAAGAGGTTGGGATTCGAAACCTGAATTAAGCTACCATATTAACCAGACTAGAAGGCAAAAACATCAAAGACGAAAGTCAAACTGCTAACATTGGCAAATTATATCGACAGAACTGGCACATACTAACGTGACTAGGAGGCAAAAACATCAATGACGAAAGCCAAACTACATGAACTAACAGCGGCAAATTATATCGACAGAACTGGCACATATGAACCTGCAGTTCCTCAATCCCAATCTTAACCAGTGTATACCCTTTAAATAGCACAGAGAGAACAATATGTTGACCATGAATCGTGAGAGAGTAAACCTGTACATTCGAGACAATTTGTACCAACTGGCCATGGCCTTAAGATCATGAAGATTGAGGATTAAGGAAGTGGTGGAGTTACATGTATGTACGAAACTTTTTGACAACAGCAATGTGCTGTATAAAGTGTTAGTACAAAGCCTAAGATGGGCATATTTATAGGACAGCATCATACACACACACATATGATGTACAAAAACTAGATCAAGTTTCAGGCTGAAAAAAGTAGTAACCTACCCAGCATCCCTCGTATCAGGTACAGACCGTTGTAATGATATTTTATCACTAGCAATGATATTGAAAGCTTCTTTTTTATACAGTTTTTCTCCAAGAGCTTTTTCTTCTCCTTCTAAAATCACAGCTTTTCCTCTTTCACCAGGGCCTGTCCTTTTACTCTCAGACGTCTTGTAGTCCAAGTAGCGTTTCTTCCTAAACGCCAACAATTCGTCATTTCTGATATGTGAAAATTTATCATTATGGAAAAAGAGATATATTCCTACAGTCAATACTGATAACAGTGCTAAATATTTCCATGGGATCCGATATCTTCTCAAGGAACGTGGCAACATTTTCACCGGAAAGAAGTGTCCATGTTTACATCTATGTAATAGTCACACCATTTCCGAAAACAACAACGAAATTCTTCCGGAATTTGTCCCTCGAAATATGACCCTACACCTTTACAATTTGGGTTTAAACGGCCAGGAGTCGGTTTCACAAAAAAACTTACGACTAAGATTGATCGTAAGTATACTGAATTGTTCATGACTTATGAGCAATCTTAGTCGTAAGTTTTTTTGTGAAACTGACCCCAGGTTCATAAACAAACATGAGTCCGAGTGTTTTCAGATGCCTGTTCCTAAATAAAAGAAAACAAAAAGTAAAATAGCAAAAATACCGAACTCCAAGGAAAATTAAGGAAGTTACCATTTGATTTTTATGGGGGGGGGGGGGGGGGGGCTAGGATGAACTTGATTTGAAAAAAAGGCAGGACAGGAGTTTTGAGTTAAAAAAAAAAAAGAAAAGCAGAATGAGCAACTTTGCAAAAAAAGGCAGGATGACAATTTATGTAAAAAAAGTAAGGATAAACTAATAAAAAAAAAGGCAGGACCGAATAGAGTGAAAAATAAAAAGGCAGGACAGAGATTACAACTTAAAAAAAGGACCCTTTTTTTTATCCTAGCCCCCTCCCCCCATAAAAATCAAATGGTAGCTCCCTAAAAACGGAAAGTCCTGAATCAAATGGCAAAATCAAAAGCTCAAACTCATCAAACGAATCGAGAACAACTGTCATATTCCTAACTTGGTATGGACATTGCCTTTTCACTTGTATGATGGTCGGCATAGAATTCCATTATATAGACAACAATGTGTGAGCAAAACAAACAGACATAATAGTTAAAACTGTCAAAAATTGGGGTACAGCAGTCAACATTGTGTTATAATCTTAATCACTACAAAACTATGTCAACAAAGAAAATCAAAATGGCATATAGACTCCGGGCTCTATAGACAAAGCATATACATGTTTGTTGTAAGCAAAAACGAAAGACAAGAATACAAAAAATGATTGATTGCTTTACACCGCATCAGCACTACAAAAAAAAATGACCATAGCACAATAACACAATGGCGGGATGTGTCATGAGATCTAAAACCCTGAATGCTACTTGTATCATGTCTATGATTCTACTGAGACGACCAGAAGGTATTTTATTTTGTAAGAAAAAATTGAATTTCGAATTTCTGAAACTACTTATGATACGGTAGGACAAAATCAAATTGACTGATTAGAATTAAAAACTTAAAGGCCGCGGAATTTGATGGCATTCCTGTTAGAATCGAATCCTTGCAACCAAGGGAACCTCAAGTTATCATCCGGAAACCATTTTTCTAATTTATTTATCTTTCTCGTAACAGGGACCTCGAACGTAGACCTATAGAACCTCGAATTGATTTGCTTCCTCCTCTTTCCTGTGTCTTCCACAAGTTTCACCTCTTTGTCTTCCATTTTTACAAGTTTCCTTCCTATAAATTAAGCAAGTATAATACTCAAATTATCACCCAGAAACTATTTGTTTTAGACACACACTCACGGACGTCGGAAGATCAAAGGGATGAAAATATGCATTTCTTCTGAATACTAATTGTTTACCACTGCTGAAAACATGTTTCCGGGTGCGGGATTTTCTCGCTATCTTGAAGACCCATTGGTGGCCTTCGGCTGTTGTCTGCTCTTTGGTCGGGTTGTTGTTTGTTTGACATATTCCCCATTTCCATTCTCAATTTTATTTAAGGTTATTGTTGTTTTTCTGAAATTGTTTACCATTTCATAGCGGTGTAATACTGTTATACTTCAATTATTCATCCCTTATTTTATTGATTTTGTATTTACATTGTATCATAGATTAAATTTATTCGTTCAGTGTATGTTCACTTGTGTTAATATGTCTTTTGATTGAGTTAAGCCATTTCAATTGATATTTTATAGTGTGCCTTTCTTTGTTGTGATGTTAAACTATTGTTTCAGATAAGGGTGAAGGTTTGGTACCATTAAACGTTTAAACCCGCTGCAATTGTTTGCACCTGTCCTAAGTCAGGAATCTGATGTTCAGTAGTTGTCGTTTGTTGATGTGGTTCATAAGTGTTTCTCGTTTCTCGTTTTTTATATAGATTAGACCGTTGGTTTTCCCGTTTGAATGGTTTTACACTAGTAATTTTTGGGACCCTTTATAGCTTGCTGTGCGGTGTGAGCCAAAACTCCGTGTTGAAGACCGTACGTTGACCTATAATGGTTTACTTTTATAAATTGTGACTTGGATGGAGAGTTGTCTCATTGGCACTCATACCACATCTTCTTATATCTATTTGTATATTGTTTTGATCCGCAGTTAAATTGGTATCTATGATGAGTTTATTGATATACTAGTAGTAGAAGTAATATGCACAAGCTGAAATGGTACAGTGAATATGACCCACAGGGGCTAACAATGTAACTTAATCAATCTGATCAAGGATGTGTATAATGTTTTTACTAAACAAATCCTTGATTAGATTTACATAAAAAATCTTTAATATATCAGTTAAAAAATTTAGTGTCTTCTTTCTAGTGAGGCAAACGATTTGAGGCTTAGGAGTCAAACCTAATCTTCTTATATCTATTTGTATATTGTTTTGATCCGCAGTTAAATTGGTATCTATGATGAGTTTATTGATATAGTAGAAGTAATATGCACAAGCTGAAATGGTACAGTGAATGTGACCCACAGGGGCTAACAATGTAACTTAATCAATCTGATCAAGGATGTGTATAATGTTTTTACTAAACAAATCCTTGATTAGATTTACATAAAAAATCTTTAATATATCAGTTAAAAAAATTAGTGTCTTCTTTCTAGTGAGGCAAACGATTTGAGGCTTAGGAGTCAAACCCTCAGCGCGATTCAAAGACTGTGATGATGATAGAGATCGGAGGGTTAGTAGTTGTAAACCGGCATCACAAAAGAACTTTAAACATTCATAAATGTAAACTGTTGTATTTAATACACGTTTGATTGATTGTTGAATGACAAACGATGCATATTCCGAACAAAATTAAGTTATAATAATCCAATAGATATGCTTTGCGAAATTGGTCGATGAGATTGAGACCACGAATTTCGATTGCACTGACTTGAAAAGGCAGAGGCAGATATGTTGCCTCGAAACATACCACAATGGAATCCTGACAGAGTTCATTCAATGGTCGTTTTACGTGTCGACGGCGTGGCACTCTCCCTACACGAGGCATCGGATTAAACGCATCACCATTCCGATCTGACATGGCTGTGTATTTATACATTTTAGCAAAGGTTTTACTGCAGGATGTAACAAGTCCATGAATGACCATATTTCTATTCCACTGCCAATCCTTTGAGTTTATTCAGAATGGAGAACATATCAACAGTAAATCCATTAAGTAGGTTGTAAAGTATCTGGGGAAAGAATACGTACCGGTACACCCAACAGCACATAAAAAGTCCCCTACCCTGGCATAGACCATACAGCCCGGCAAGGTGGAAATCTAGGTAAAAATATTTCTATAAAATAGAAAAGAAAATAATATTTTTATTTCCCAAATTACAGGGCCCATAAAGGTCATACAAATCATTTACAATTGATTGACATAATTAATAATTACAACAATAAACATCGCAGTGTACATGTATATTTAGTATATTAGCATCGGTCAGAATCAGAGCCATCAACCATATAATTATGAATGCATGATTAAATAATAATATTACAAATATAGGCATTCTTTATACAATTATTTACTAGTATCAATATTCAGACCGGGTCTTCTTAATTCAAAACACTTGCCAATATAACAGCCCATTTTTTCCATCACAGATACATTTTCTTGTGTCAGGAGTCATAAAAATTTGGAAGATTTATTTACATTTTTAAATTTATAACAAATGTTAGAAACGTATTGAAAAAAATCATCTCTTTTGATATCATATAGTGGACATTCTAACTTAAAAAATGAAGCTCATCCTCAAAACTTTACCAAGTGAGCAATTTAAACTAAGAGGCTCGGATCTATCTATACGTTCTTTTGAATATCCCCTATAGAGATATTGGATTTAGTTCCAGAAAAACATATATGGAAAAATTGGTGTATAACGCAGTGAATGATTACTGGAAAAACAGCTTAATTCTTGAGGCTAGGACAAAAGTAACTATGAAATTGCTTAATTTTGTAAACTTTAATGTTGGTGTTGTCCACAATATTTGGAAGAGTAGTGGTTCAGAACTTTTATCTGTTAAAAGAACCGGTGTGAAATCCAAAATAGTAAGTGGGACATATACTCTACAAGCTGATCGTGCTAAATTTAATGGGAACAGAACTAGTTCTTTATGTCCATTGTGTTTTAAACATCCTGAAGATCTCATGCACAGTTTATATTAAAATGTAAACCACTGGACGGAGTTAGACTGAAATTCATAATACTACTAAGAACTTTACTAAGTGCTAAGATAAATTTGCCACTTGTGGAGGATTTATTTTATTTTGATGATAATCTATTACAATTAATAATTGACTGTACAAAATTGCAATTCTTAAAACATTTATGGATAAATATTGAGCGCTTGACAAGTAGCTTATGTTTTGCTCTTCATCAGAAGAGATCAAGTTTAATCCTTTAACAGTTTAAAGACTGCCTAAATAGTATTGCCAGATAAAAGAGACATTTAGTGTAATAATTTTGTGAGTGTGGTATTGGTGATAATGACATTTACCGATTTGAGCAAGTTTTAGATTTTAAAGTTTACTCTGCATTTACTCTAAGTATATGAATAAATAAGTCAGTAAAGTTGTTAAGGTGAATATGATAGGTGTAAACTTTGAGTAAGTTTTAGATTTTAATGTGCATTTTTACATCGGATGACCGTGAGGGCATTCCGGTGTATTGTTGCCACAGACATTTCTATCCACGTGACATTTGTTTTTGACTGATAACCGTATAATTACGCGGATATTATCGTGAGCAAAATAACATTTCTTATCCCTTGTTAAATATTAATTTTATCAATAAATATTCATGAAAATA